CCACCAATTTTGAGCGGATCATAACTGTCACAAGTCTGGTTATTTTTGACATTTCTCATTATATGTTTAGGTATATATTGAATAGGTATGGTGAGAGAATGCACCCCTGCCTCAACCCCTTTTGCATCTCGAACCAATCAGATGTTTCACCAGCTGCTCTGATGGCTGCATGTTGTTCATGATAAAGATTTTCAATTAAATGCACAAAATGCGCTGGAAACCCCATACTTTTCATAATAGTCCACAGTTTATGGTGTGACTGACTGACTGACTTTCTACCCCACCAGGACATTACACAAGCGATAAACACCCGATGACACAATGTGCCACCATGTGGATGAGGATCACCATGGAGAGGTCCCTGAAACCGCGATCAGTGGCCATATTTATGGTCTGCCTATATTGCAGCCACTGGCAAAAGCCAGGGTGGGGCTTCAAATAACCAAAAATTGTGTCCTAAAAAGGACAAAACTGGGTAATGTATATTGTTACTTTATGGTGTCGGACACAATAAAATGCCTTCCTATAATCAATAAAACAAGCGTTGTATTCTGCATTTTGAACTCTGCATTTTTCAAAAATTATTCTCATGTTAAAGATGTGATCCCTAGTTCCTCTACCCTGTCTGAAACCCGCTTGTGCTTCATCTAGCTCATATTGTTATTTCCTTTCAATCCTTTTTATGATAATTCGTACGAGGATTTTGCTAGCATGACTTATCAATGCGATGGTATGGTAGTTGGAGCATAGTTTTGGATTTCCTTTCTTTGGAAGAGGGATATAGACGCTTTTACACGCTTTAGGCCAAATGCCACTGTTCCAGATCTTCGAGCACAGTGCATGGTAAATTCGGACGCTGGCTTCTCCTCCTGCTTGAATTAGTTCTGCTGGTATTTCGTCGCAACCTGGTGACTTTCCTTTCTTCAGGCTGTGTATTGCTGTTCGTACCTCATCCAGTAAAGGCTCTGGTTACGGTTACCCAACAGAAAATGCGAACTGGCAGGAGGACGACGCGTAGGGGAGGTGACTCCGTGTGCCAGCAGAAGTCTGCTCGGAAGACGGAGAATTTCTTGTCGTTTGTTTTTGTTAATTTCTGCTGTCCACTCGATTTTTTTTCCAGCTGAATATGTGATGGTGATTGTAAGTAAATCTTATAAATGTTAGTTCCGGTAACAACAAGTAAATGTTGTGGTTATCAGTAAATCATTTTGTGCTAGCGGGAAGAAAGAAGCAGGAAAACACAGAACTAGCGGAATAAAGTGGGTACTTTAGTCAAATTGTTAAAATGCCCTCAACACCAGAAAAACTAAAAACCAGCGCAGTTAGACAGCTGTAAACAATCTCTTTCCAATGGTACCTCATTTAGGCTTGTATGTCATTTCTGAGCTGAGATATGAAGGTTTTTGTGGAGATGAGATGTAAAAAACAGCTGCTAAAACTTGTGTCTGAGAAACAAGAAGTTTTCTCTGCGCAACTTTCATTTTGGCTTTGTTTTCATTGGACAAGATGGCAGACAATTTTTCTCAGACACAGCCACATAATAACGACTGCCTGAAAAAATGTCACTGTAAATCTAAACACCCACGGACAAGAAAGAAGTTTTATACACAAATGTAAAATTGGACGGAGAATTCAATTATAACTAGCATTACCATGTCTGGTAATGTTTAAGGCCTAAAGCCAACCTTGAATAATTTACCGCTATTTTCAATCAAACTGATGTAACAGAAAAACAGAGGGCGTCCGGCTGTCGTAGACATGCGCTGTTAATCGGGTTCGTTCCCGCCATTTTCAGCTGTTTATAGCTGGTGAAAATCACACTAATCGCAAATTTTCATGAGAGATGGGACCTATCCCGAAACCCCAGCCGACATTTCTCAAACAAGTTTCGAACGGTTTCCATGGTAACGGAAATTGCCAAAAAAAACACGCAAATTGTCGAAACTGTAGTCGCTAAAAAAAAGAAAATTGTGGGCTATCCTCCAAATAACAGGCACAGAAGATGGCGGCAAAAAAAGGGCCTCAGTCACGTGTCAATTGCGCACTTTCGGCCACCTAATTTGCGGTTTTCCGGTGACTACCGCCACCGCCGAGAGTATCCCCCACGCCGCTCATGTGGCGTGGATTCTGGCTAAACTAGATGGCTAGGACTCACGAGCAAATCTGCAGGAGACGTGAAAGCTGCTGCTCGAGAGTCCCAGCCATCTAGTTTAGCCCCAATCTACGCCGCGTGGGGATACTCTCAGCGTGGCGGTAGTCGCTGGAAAACCGCAAATTAGTTCGCCGTAAGTGCACAATTGACACGTGACTAAGGCTCTGTTAGGGTGTTTTTGCAGCCACCATCTTTTGTGCCCGTTATTCGGAGGATAGCTAAATTGTGATTAGGACAAAATGTTAATAGTTCCCCGCTAAACAGCAAAAATAGGAAAGTAAAGACAGGACAAGGGTTATTCTGTGCAGAGATCCTAGAATATTTCACCAGAACCCAGTCAGTGAATATCTCTATGGTGAGTTACATGATGACAACCTAAATACATGGCTACACACACCTAGTCGAACCACATGCCCGGATAAAAATTTAATCAATCAAATTAATTATAACCACATTAAACAGCTGTTTATTTTACTGAAGTGAACACAGAATTAACGTATACTTTACAAATAATAAATTAACAAAAATCAACATGCTCAACGAGAATCTAAAGCAATCATCTCCAGCTAACAAGGAAATATGATAATAACACCATACGCTCAGTGAGATTACCTCAACATTGGCAAAAACTGAAACATATTTAACATGTACGTTAAGCTTCAGTATGCCACCAGACCAACAAATCACTTATAGCGACCTGCCATCCTAGTGAGAATACACAATGGAAATCAACTCTAACACCACCTAAACTTACCATTATCGCGAACACGGGCCAGTCTGTCGTTGCTCGGCTGGTCTGATCTAACACACCTGTGCTTTGAGACTAAGTGCAGTCAAACAACGGCAAACAGGGGTCTGACCATAGCGAGCCGACCACAGAGTGACAGCCTAATAGGCTGCTAAAAGGCTAAGCAGGGTCATAACCGATGGCTGGCCAGGTTTTTTCGCGCTACCGTCTAATAGCTGTTCCTGTGGCCCCTTGGGCTGTCACATTTGACTCATGTAGTGATGGTGGTTGTAATAGTAATAGGGATGCTAGTGTCACTACTAGTGAGGAGTGGGTTTTTATAGCCTATGCTAGTGAAGTTTTATATTTTGGGGGTTTTACTTATGAAACCATCATATCTAGATAGAGATTACAATTATAAAACCAGTGATACCTCAATGAAGCCTGTAAGTCAATTCTAAACCAAGATATTAACATATTAGTGCTAGATGCCAACACAGACAAATTAAAATAAGTAATAAATAGTGGAAACTGACAAAAGATGGATTCTGGACTGCGGCCCAGTAAAATGAAATTACTAAATGTTTGCATTTTATGGCAATAACTATTTTGTTTCTGAAAGAAATCCCTTAGCAACTATATATTGCTGGAATCAGGACAGTGAGACCTCGTATATGCATGTTTCAAAAGCATGTTTCAAAAGTATGCACCTAATTAACATATAAAAAACCCACAAGCTGAAACTATACATTTATGGTTATCTGCCAATGAGCCTGGCAATATCAAATTGTGAGTATCGACAAGACGAACACAAAGATATTAAAAAAGTGCCAATGTCAGTTGACCTGACCTAATAACCATATAAAAATGGCCTCCAACTGACTTTCTTTCAGCAAAAACCATATACCTTTATGGTTGGCAGTGTCAGTTGATGTGACCTAATTAACATATGAAAATGGCCGCCAGCTATCTGTTTTCAAGCAAAAACCTTATACATATGTTGTCTGCCAAGGAGCATGGCAATATGCATATCAAATTGTGCGTCCCGACAAGGCGAACACAAAGATACTAAAAATATGCCAATGTCAGTTGAAGTGACCTAATTACCAAAAATAAAAATGACTTTTTTCCAGCAAAAACGTTATACACTTTTGGTTATCTGACACAAGTTGTGCACTTGAACCCACAGAGGCATAGAAATAAAGGAAGACAAAAAACATGAAGAAGAGAGCTATAGAGTGAAGTTAAAAAAGATGGTGAGGACACGGTAAGAGCTACTTGCAGTAGCAAAGAAATTAATGACTTGGCGTGAGTTGGTTGAGGACTTTTGCCCCATTGGGGGATAGAAGACTGAAGGAAAACTAAAAGACACAAGTTGACAGAATGTTTTTAGATAAAACTGACACAGAAAAGGTGTGAATGTGGATGTTTTCACAACACAAAGCGCCCACCCAACAGTATCAACTAGTCATGATGCCATGGTGACAACTGAATGTTACTGTGCATACCTGAGGGATAACAATAAATAGTACATGTTCTCACATTAAAAAACAACCAGGAATTGTGTTAGACAGATATGATAGAGGGATAGACAAACAGATAGTGACAAACAGAAACAGCATGGATGATTGATCTACCGTGGTACGTATTCACCACAGCTTCTTCTCTCATGCTGCTTCTATGTCTATAAAGACACTGTGGAAATATCCATCTGGCAGGTGGAAGACTACAACAAGGATCATTGTTACACAGTGTTGTTTTCAGATACATATCACTGCTTTTCTCTTATTGTGTAGTGAATACCAGATAAGCCTCGGCATACATTAGTAACAGAAACAGCATGGATGATTGGTATATAGTCAGAATTATTTTCTAATGCTGCTAGCTATGTAGAGAAAGATGGAATTCACCAGAAAACTACAGCTATTGTGCAACAGAGAAAAGAAAATCTATTTTAGTATTCATATGTTTGCCAAGTATCCAAGAACATAGCATTCTTACACTGGTATGCATCATGACAGGCCCCTACACAGACAATTGATCCTAGTGAATACAAAATTACACAGACAGCTTCAAACTATATGGAATCTGAGCAAGCTGAGTTCATGAGACAGCAGTACCATGGCTAGCTTAAGGTAGGCCTGTCTACACAATCTGCTCATGTCACTGGTGCAGGCTGATGAAAAATTGGCTAACACATTTGTTTCAGTGTGTGTTCGGTTTTATTTTTTCTTGTCATTGAGTAATATTAATAAGTGATTTCACCTTCACTGTTGATTCACTTATAAGTGGTGTTTTCAGGGAGTAGATTAAATATGTTTTTTTGTGTGATTCGTTTTGGATTTATCGTTATTGTCTTGTTGTGGAGCAGCACCTTACAGGTGAGAGGAAAAACAATATTTAACTATATAAAATGTGTGTCTCTTAGTTTCACAATGCCTCTAAAATGCAGGTTAATATAATTCTAAGAGGAGTTATTTTCATATTTTAAAAGAGGAACTACAAAAACACTTCTAATAGAAGCCATTGATTTATTTCTAGGAAAAATTGTTAACTAATCTCTTAGAGGAAATGTTAATAAAGGAAGCTGCTTATATCTTTCTCAAAGGAACTGCTACAATATTTCTACAAGAAACTATTTACATATAATTATTTCTCACAAACAAAGTCATTTAAACATAATTTGCCAGTAAAACCCCAGCATAAACTGCCAGGACATTTTAATATAAATTGCCAATAAAACTCTGACACAATAACTATACAAATGCTGAATGCCTGTGATAGTCATAGAACTGCAGAAGCTAACTTTTCTCATGTAAAGAACCTGTATTATAGTGAGCAACAGAATATTGCAAAACTGGCACCTAAACTTTCGAACAAAGCCATTTATCCCTGCAGAATAGATAGACAAAAAGTCTGCGTTTAGTGGGCATTAATAACGTTGTTATGTTATGTAATCACAATCGACGTCTTTGCATATTGGTCATTCCCAGTGTGAGCAGTAATGAAACAGCATATTTTATTGGGGGCACCCTTAAATGGTGTCATGTTGTTTATGGCAGGTAAGAAGACATCACGGAATCACTGGTGTTGTAGCTGGATTTGTCTCTAGTAAGCTGATTTTAAAAAATGGATGTTTGCTGCATGGAAGACTTTACTCTTTTTCTGCTGTTCAGACTAAGACCCTTGTTGTGAACTCTTGTTGGTTATATCAAGGCCTTCTATAGGGTAGGTCTTGGCTCAGTGGAGGATGTCAATAGTAAAACCAGTAGGTTACTGAGTAGCTAACTAAGTTTCTTCACTAATTTTCAGTGGAATATGTGGATATTTACTAGCTCAAATGTAGGTAGTTGCTGTTGTACTTTCTGTTTCTATATTGTTCAGTCTTTTTTGAGCTGAAAATGGGACATCCTAAGCAAGTTAGTCCTCTTTTCACCCCCTTCCCCACCCCCCAAAAAAGAATCTAGGATTTATTATTACTTTTCCTTACGCAAATAATACATTAGATGAGATTATATAAGCCTATCAACTGCATAAGCCATATATTTAAATGTTTTTCTCTAGTATACCCTTTTAGTTTGTGTATGTGTTACTTGTTATGTTCTCGGGCTTATTCCTAGAATTTAGGGGGGGGGAGTACTCATAGGACGATCCAGAACATATTGCAAATAAAAAAAAACCAGGACTGTCGGAGTTGAAGTGGGATGTATTGTTAGCAGGGCTGCCAATTGGATTGTTATCAAAACCCAAACTGAGCCGAACAAAAATCCAAGCAATACATAAACAAAGAACAAAAACCCAAGATTGATAACAAGTACACATTTTATTTTTTACGAAACAAAATATTTATCCACTTTTATATGATACATTAAAAAAAAAAAAGATTCCAAAATCTGAACCCAAGGCATTATATAAAAACCCAGGTCATAGGGAGAACCCAAGTGTTGGCAACCCTGATCGTTAGCCCGGATGTGGATTTTGGGATGATAAGGTAAAAATATCTCTAACAGAAAATTATATGAACTCTAAATAATGACAAATGCATGAACAAATGCTACAATGGTTGAAGATTTACTTTCTCTAGAAGGTATTATAATTATTGCATGACAGTATGGAACAGTGGTGCCAATAATTCTGAAATATTCAAATCAAATCAAATAAATATCAATAAATCAGTTCAGTAACATGCAAATTAGTTTACAAATCACCTTTAATGATTGTTTATTACAGGATAAATGATTCCAATTATATATGAATCAATTATTAAATCACTTTGAATAACTATCAGTCACTTTGTAAATGATTCCCACAATTCTACCAAGTTTAGTCTCAAGCTTTAGGTTAAAGCCCAACAGATGGCAGAGTCTAAAGTTCCAAGCCCTATGTCCACACTCTTCTAAGCTCTTCCTATTTCTCCTACTGAACCTCTCTAATTCCAGGGAAGCCAAAACTCCACCCTGGGAGACAGTCCTATCACTAAAAGCCTGTCTGTCCAGAAGGCAAAACGTGTGTTTGCCAACACTGGGTTACATTTCTGTGGTCTTTCAAGATGGCCAGAGCTCATAAACAAAGTTTAACCTTTCTCCCCATCTTCAACCTGCCAGGTTCTGTCTACTAACACCTCTATCAGACCAGTGTCAATACTAGCCATCTGACCTGCACTCAAGTGGGGGGTGGGGGGGGGGGGGATCTCAGGGGGAGATAATCAAGATTAGCTTGAGTTATCTCCTCCTAAAGCCACTATGTCTGAGCTTTCTACTTCACTGATGCCGCTAAGTCTACCTGCTCAATCTTATCTGTATGCTTGATTTGATACCTTACCACTGGGCAAGAGTCTGAGTGTTTGATATCAACTGCAGTCCAGGGAAATAAAATAGCTTTGTCCTGGATAGCCTTGAGTTAGGTTATATCCAGGAGCATTCCCATCTCTAACTCAAAATATATAGGAAAATTAAGCTGGGGAAAGACATGTTCTGAAGTCACAAGTCGTGTCGTCAGTCATCTTGTCTTAAGACAGTTTCTTGCAGTGTCGAGGTGAATATAATTTATATTAAAGTGACTGTTTGTGGGCTTCACGAATGGAGATTCCCAGGGACTCTGTTATTCTCTCTGTCCATGATTTTGCCTGGTCAGCCTCTTCTTCGTTTTCCGCATAGCCTGTACATCATTGATAGCTGTGGTATACTGTCTGCTGTGGTATACTGTCTGGTGTGGTATACTGCCTGCTGTGGTATACTGTCTGCTGTGGTATACTGTCTGCTGTGGTATACTGCCTGCTGTGGTATACTGCCTGCTGTGGTATACTGTCTGCTGTGGTATACTGCCTGCTGTGGTATACTGCCTGCTGTGGTATACTGTCTGCTGTGGTATACTGCCTGCTGTGGTCTACTGTCTGCTGTGGTATACTGTCTGCTGTGGTATACTGTCTGCTGTGGTCTACTGCCTGCTGTGGTATACTGCCTGCTGTGGTATACTGTCTGCTGTGGTATACTGCCTGCTGTGGTCTACTGCCTGCTGTGGTCTACTGCCTGCTGTGGTATACTGCCTGCTGTGGTCTACTGCCTGCTGTGGTATACTGCCTGCTGTGGTATACTGTCTGCTGTGGTCTGCTGTGGTATACTGCCTGCTGTGGTCTACTGCCTGCTGTGGTCTACTGCCTGCTGTGGCATACTGCCTGCTGTGGTCTACTGCCTGCTGTGGTCTACTGCCTGCTGTGGTATACTGTCTGCTGTGGTATACTGCCTGCTGTGGTCTACTGCCTGCTGTGGTCTACTGCCTGCTGTGGTCTACTGCCTGCTGTGGTCTACTGCCTGCTGTGGTATACTGTCTGCTGTTGTATACTGTCTGCTGACATCGCCGTTATATGGCCAAGCCATTTCACTCATTCTCTTCTAATGAAGAAATCCAGAGCTGCCGCTATCCCCATTCTCCTTCGGATTTAATCATTTCTGATCTTATCTCTTATTATTTTGAGAGAGCTTCATAGAAATCTAATTTCAGTTGTAATTTTTTTCTTTGCTTCTGTCATTGGTAGCACAGGGTTGGTAAGAAGATTGTGTCATAGAGTGCTCTTTTGGTTTTTACTGACACATTTTTTCTTAATATTGGTGCCAATTTCCCAGTGAGTTGTTTTGCTCTGTAACATCTGTTATCACTCTCATCTTTTGTTTTGTCAGCTGGTGATATTATGCTTTCTAAGTATTTGAAGTTTTTGGTTCTTCCAGAGGGTTTACTTAACGTAAGGACATGTGCTACTTTGCTTCATCTCGTTTATTGCGTGCGGGTTTGTAGACCCAAACATTCCTTGTGAGTAAATGTCTGACGGACAACTGTTGATGAGTTTCCTGACAGTATGCTTGTGCATTATGTACAGCAGTTTGGTGCGAGTGGATATGGAGTTCGATCACAAGTGATATTCCAGATACTTGGCTAAATGTTAATGTACTGTCACCCCATACTTCATATTAGCACACGACATGCTATATGCTGGTTGGTGTTAACTGCACATTTCCCAGCCCTGAAACAAGATTTATAATGCAACGTGCTTGTGTTAACTGTATGTATATTTTCCAACCCTAAACCAAGATTTAGAATGAAGCATGTAGACATGGCTCACCGAGGCAGTGTGTTTGCTGTTCAGCAGCCTTCAGTGAAGAGACCAGCTGTCTTCTGGCTATGTTTGCTAGTTTTGCTCACGGCAGCATTTACCTTGGCATTACATGTGGTGGTAAGTGAACAGTTTTCCAGTTCTGGTCTGTGTTACTTATGAACAAGCCTTATGTTCAGAAGTGAAACAGAATTATTATGGCCTGGAGAAAATGAGGCTCAACTCAATAACACTGGGAAAAACTGTTCCCTCTCTCGCTGCCCAACACTAGGAATAACTGTTTCTTTTCTCACTGTGCAACACTGGGAATAACTGTTTCCTTTCTCATTGTGCATCACTGGGAATAACTGTTGCCTTTCTCACTGTGCAACACTAGGAATAACTGTTGCCTTTCTCACTGTGCAACACTAGGAATAACTGTTGCCTTTCTCACTGTGCAACACTAGGAATAACTGTTGCCTTTCTCACTGTGCAACACTGGGAATAACTGTTTCCTTTCTCATTGTGCATCACTGGGAATAACTGTTGCCTTTATCACTTCGTATCACTGGGAATAACTGTTTCCTCTCTCGCTGTCCAACACTAGGAATAACTGTTTCCTTTCTCACTGTGCAACACTGGGAATAACTGTTTCCTTTCTTGCTGTGCAATGCTGGGAATAACTGTTTCCTTTCTCATTGTGCATCACTGGGAATAACTGTTTCCTTTCTCACTGGGAATAACTGGGAATAACTTTCCTTTCTCACTGTGCAAAACTGGATGTAACTGTTCCCTTTCTTACTGTCTAAAAGTGACTGTTTTGTGTTGCTCCGTGGACAATAGAATAGTAAGAGCTGATGTTCCAAGCCTCACAATTAATAACAGCAACTTCAAAAGAGAAAATAAACTGAGGTACGTGGGTATAACTTTCGAAAGAAGCCTGTCCTATAGGGATCAGGTGGAGGCAGTTGTGGTGAAATGCCAAAAAGGACTTTATGCTCTCAAGCTAATTGCAGCAATCAACATGGAACAAGGAATGCTGTTCACATTGTTCCAGCATGTGATCATGTCGATGATTGATTATGGACTTGCAATGCTTACCATATAAAAGAGTCAGGTGATAAAACTCAAACGCAAATAGAATGAAACCATGAGGTTAATTCTAGGATGTACAAGAGATACCCCAGTAGTATGTATGCGATATATACTTGCACTGCCTACTATTGCGGATATGCTCAAAGTTCCGCAAGCAAGTCATATTTCACAGTATCTGCAAACAAGAAGTACCTCTTGCATGAAGCCCTGGGTAGAGCTAAGAGTCACAGACTGAAAAGAGGAAGGTCTTGGATGGTGCAAGCTGAAGACACAATCAGACATGTACCCAGGCTCGATAATTTTGATCTAAGAAGGGAGTGGGTCAAGGTGTCCAGACAAGTTTCAGACTTGTGTAGGGTTCTAGTCATGTTAGGTCGTGAGTGCAGAAACTGGCCAGCTGGTGCTGCAGAATGAGAAATTCAACAAATAATTCATGACAATTCCTGCCCAAGTGATTTGATTATCTATACAGATGGATCTTTGTTGAGGGGCAGACAAAGTGCATTGGGGTTTCATATCTAAGGTGAATGGACGTCGCCTAGTGCAGCAAAGTCTTGCATATGATATCACAACATCTAGTTTGAGAATGGAGGTGGAGGCAGTCTCTGCTGCCTTCCGCTGGCTTGAGAATCAGCTTTACACACATGCCGTGATTGTTACTGACTCACAGAGCATGTTGAGAAAAGTGAAAACAGGCATGCTTCCTGCAGAGTGGCAAGAATCACTGTCTTTAATGCAAGATGCATGAAGCATTCTTGTTTCCCTGTTGACTATGCAGTTGGATTGAAGATCGGAGATAGGCATTCTCCCTTATATGGTTGGCTATGATTTGTTTTCCTTTCAGGATGTTGATGTTGAATCTAATGACTGGAGTTAGGCATTCCCCCTGATATGATTGGCTGTGATTTGCTTCCAGGATTACAAGAGCCTGGCAAAGTTGGGTCTGTTCCTGGCAGTTGGTATTCTATGGAAGCTTTGGTCCAAAACATGCTATGGTAGGTTGAAGTTTTCTCTGGAAGGTTCAGAATTTGTTTAGGTTTAATGTTTAAACTTTGGTGGGTTAAAGGGTTAACATCTGATAGCACAACAGTTTAAAATGTGGGATTTTGAAAATTAGTAAAGTTTTTACTCTGGTACGAGGGGACTGCAAATTAAAATATCAAAAGTGTGATGAAAATTACAATAATTATGCCATAGTCTCGTAAACTCCCAGTATGTTTGGTTAAGCATTTGACGTCGCAGTGTAGATAAACACGATGATGTCATATTGAAAGTTTAAAGATGGCCACCCCACTTTTGACACACACCAGAGAGGAGCAGCATTTTGTTATCTGTTATTTTTTATCAGTGAAGGGATGAAACTTATAAAAATTAATTGGCGAATGAAGGTTCAGAATGGTGATGCATACCCAGAAAATTTATAGGAAGAGCAGGAAGTTTTAAAACTGTGATAAACTGTTCATCACTGGGTCAGGCTTAGTTAGTAGTGACCCCTAAGTCGATTGCAGCACTGGAAGGCTACAGACAGGAAAACCATTGATTGATTATGTGTGACATTGCTGCACATCTTGGACCTTCATTTGCCATACTGACAGGTAATTCATATCACATTTCAAATGTTTCAATTTGAAGCCCCTTGCATTAGAACTCTTCCCTGAAGGCTAAGTTGTGTCAGCAGTGTTTGCAATTCTGGTAGTTTCCTAGACTGGAGTGCTTCAAGTACTGATTTTGCATCTGTCAGCATTGCCACATACTGTGAGCCAAGATTGGTATTTAGCAGTTTCTCTGTTGCTATCTTGATAGCCTGAGTTGAATAGTTATGCAGTACTTGCTTGATGTATAAAGCTGCTTCTTTTTAACCCTCCCAAGGCTAGGTTCTGAAATCTATTTTTCATGGGATGATCTAGCAAACTGAGGAACTTTTCAGCTTGTATTTGCAACTTTGTATCTCTGCGTTCTCTCAGTGCCTGTGTTTTCCCAGCTTTCTCCATTTCTAATATGGGGGTTGATTTCATCCCTCCTGTGATGACTCTGAGTGCTTGATTTTGCACTTTGTCCAACTCCTTTAATGTGGTACTAGATGCTGAACACCATGCAGTTGACCCATATTCCAAGTGTGGAAGTATGGTCTGCTTGTATACTTTATTGAGTATTTTCCCACTGGCTCCCCATGTGGTTCCACTTAATTTTCTTAGTATTGCTGTCTTCCTCCTGGCTTTGGTTGCTGCCTTGTTGATATGTTTTCTCTATGTCAACCTGTCATCAAATATGACTCCTAGGTATGTGGGCTCTTTATCATCAGGGGTATTCCGTTTATTTTGATGATGCCCGCTTTTTGCTTTGGGGAGAGAGAGAAGAGTGTGGTGCTACATTTGTCTGTATTGATGCTGACACACCATCTATTCGCCCATGTCTCAAGTGCATATGTAGCCCGCTGTAGTGTTCTTGTGGCTATCGTTGCATGTTCATCCGTGCACCACAGTACCAGGTCGTCGGCATACATTGCCACTTTGATTCCATTTGGCATTTCAGCAACCAGGTTGTTGATGAATAAGAGGAAAAGTGTGGGCGACAGGACACCACCTTGAGGGACGCCATGTCGCATTAGAACTTTTTTTTACTTTTGAAACCATCTACCTGTTCCCTGGCTCTTCTATTATGTAGATATGCTTTAATCCAATTGTACATTCTTCCATTTACTTTATAGTTTATCAATTTCTTCAAAAGCCCCTCCTTCCAAACCTTGTCAAAAGCTTTCCTTAAATCTATCCATGCCACGAGTACTAGTTTCTTATCTTGAAAAGCATCCTCTATTTCTTGGGAGAGGAATGTTGTCTGGTCTTCCGTAGAGTAGAACTTTCTAAAGCCCACCTGCTGTGGTGTAATGATGTTTTTACTTTCAATGTACCACTGTAGTCTGAGGTTGGGGATGCGCTCCATTGTTTTGCAGAGACAGCTTGTGAGGCTGATCGGTCTGTAGTTGGAGGCATTAGAACTGTCTTTCCCAGGCTTTATGAGGGGTATCATAATTGCCTCCCAGATCTGTGGAACATTTTCTGTTGCCCAGCAAGCATTAAATATCTGTAAAAGCTTTGTTTTGGCCACTGTTCCTAAGTTTTTGATCATTTCGTTAGATATACCATCTGCTCCTGGTGACTTCCGCATTTTCAGCTTTGAAATGGCCAACTCCAGTTCATTTAGTATAAGTGGCTGTGATAAGGTGCTTTGCATGGTCTCCACGATTACACTGTGGCAAGCATAAAGTCCGTGTAACAAGTGACAGCACGAGATACTTGGGGGCTAGTCGAGTAAGCGAGGGGAAGCCCGAGCTAGACTCGTGGTCAGTGGATCAACAGAAATCATGGAAGACGGTTGCAGTTAGTTGAAGATGTAGTCTTTATGTCGCACGAATGACTAGTGTTTGAACATGTCGCAAACGATGAAAGTCAGAATAATTGAGCATGTTGAATAAATGGACCAGAATAAACTGATAGCATGTACAAAGGAGCCGAGTGGAGTTTGTGTTATTAAACCTAGACGTGAGAGCAGTGCGAATTAATCATCCAGAGAGTGAGCCATGGCAAGAGTGAATATGTTGTAAGACAAAGTGCATTTCAAGTGACGGTAGAAAGCCACGCACATTCCAAGTCAAGCCTTGACTCATTCCAGTGGCACCTCTAGCGCCTCTGATGTTATTTCTTTCTGACTTCTGAATGGTGTCTTTTCTTGAATTTCTTGTTTTTTTCTCTGAACTGATTTCAGTGTCATTATCTAATGCAAAAGTGTCTGCAAAGAGGTTGGCTGCCTCTTTTCCTGTGACCATGTTTCCATCTTTCAGCAGCGTGATCTTTAAGTTCCACCCTGTGTCCTCATCATTAATTTGTTTTACAAGCTTCCATAACTTTCTTGTGTCTTTTTCAAAGTTCAGCGACCTTGTTTTCTCCTGCCAGCTTTCTCTTCTAACCTGCAGCTTTGCCCTAACAAATTTTGTTTATGCATGCTGGTAGTTATTGTGATGTTCTTGGTTTGGCCTGGTCTCTGCTTTCTTTCTAGATGTTTCCACTTCGTTATGTAAATTTTCTAGTTCACTATTCCAGTATGGCTTATAATGCTTACGGGCACCTTTTGGTATTGATTCTCCTGCTGCCTGTAGTACGCATTTGTTAAATTCTTTAACTACTTTGTTTATATACTGGTCTGCGCTAAGATTTCCAAGCAGTATACTGGTACGGTGTTTGAACATTGTCCAGTCAGCCTTCTTGTAGTTCCACCTTGGCAGCGTACTCGTTTTTCTTACCTTCTCATTTTCTACATTCAGGAAGACCGGTCGATGGTCACTGCCTCCCAGTTGATTTCCAACAACTCGTTTAATGTTCCATTCCAGATCTGGAGAGTGAAATGCTAGGTCTGGGGTAGTAGTGGTGTGCCACGACCTCGAGTAGAATGTGGGTGGATCAGTTGTTCTCATCCTGCCACTCTTCGAGTTTCTCTCCTCTCTGGTCTATGTGGTTGTACCCCCAGCTTTGTGAGTGGCTGTTAAAGTCTCCACATAGAATCATCTTTGCTTCTACTGGGATTGTGTCTAGTGCTTGGGGATGATCACTTGGGCAGTAATAATTGCTCAGGTAGAAGTCTGCATTTCCAGTTTGCAGTTTTATAATCTGATATTCTGCTTCATCCATATATATTTCAGTCTGGCAGGCAGTGATATTGTTCCTTACTAGAGTCAGTATTCCACCCTTTTTCCTGCCTTTCCGGTCTGATCGGAAGCACTGATAACCTCTGATTTTGAAGACTGTCTTCGGTGAGGTGGGTTTCTTGTAGACAACATATATGTATCTGTTCCTCATTTAGAATATTTTCTAACTCTAGCTTTAGTAATGTAGTAATGTATTTACCCTGGTATGTGTGTTATAATATATTTACCCTGATATTATTTTATAATGTATTTACCCTGGTATGCATGTGTAGTGATGATTTTACCCTGGTGTGCGTAATGATGTAGTTACCCTGGTAAGTGTGTGCATATTAATGTATTTACCCATGTATGTGTGAAGTGATGTATTTATCCTGGCATATGTGTGAAGTGATGTATTTACCCTGGCATATGTGTGAAGTGAAGTATTTATCCTGGCATATGTGTGAAGTGATGTATTTATCCTGGCATATGTGTGTAGTGATGTATTTATCCTGGCATATGTGTGTAGTGATGTATTTATCCTGGCATATGTGTGAAGTGATGTATTTACCCTGGCATATGTGTGAAGTGATGTATTTATCCTGGCATATGTGTGTAGTGATGTATTTACCCATGTATGTGTGAAGTGATGTATTTACCCTGGCATATGTGTGAAGTGATGTATTTATCCTGGCATATGTGTGAAGTGATGTATTTACCCTGGCATATGTGTGTAGTGATGTATTTACCCTAGTATATGTGTGTAGTGATGTATTTATCCTGGCATATGTGTGAAGTGATGTATTTACCCTGGCATATGTGTGTTAGTTAGTTAGTTAGTCTTTCCTCTTGTGTCGAGTGCGGCACATAGGGCAGAGGTCATGACTCTCCATGCATGGCGGTTCGTTGCAATCTGTTGTATGTCTTGGATGTTTGAGTGGCCCATGGGTGAGCCTTCCCTGATGATAGTTCTACGTAGGGTTTCCCTTGGTCTTCCACGAGATCTTTTCCCCTGTGGTGCCCAAATGAGGGCTTGGTAAGGAAGTCTTGATTTATCCATTCTAAGGGCGTGGCCGACATAGTTCCAGCGGCGTTTTCGTATAAAATTAGACACATACTCTTGCCTGGATTCTTGCCTTTTTAGTGTATTGGTTCGGAAATCTGACCATTTGAAATTTAGTATTCTTCTAAGGCATTTATTTTCAAAACTGTCTAATTTTGTGTCTAGAGTTTTCGTTGATTTCCAGCTCTCGCATCCATAGGTTAGTACTGGTATCACACAAGAATTGAAGATCTTGTTTGCTAAGTGTCTTTGATTTCCAGATGTTGGACAGTTTATTGAAGGCACTAGATGCCAGTGCTATTCTAAATGGTATTTCTGGTGCGGTATCTCCTGTAGATGACATCTTGCTCCCTAGATAAGTGAAACTGTTTACTTTTTCAAGGCTGTTGTTGTTCAGCGTGATATCAACTGAACTGTTGGTAAGGTCTAGAATTTTTGTTTTTGCTGTGTTAATTTGGAGTCCAATTTGTTCTGAGAAATTCTGGAGTCGATTGATTTTTTCTTGGGCGTCTGTGTGTTCTGAACTCAGGAGTGCTATGTCATCGGCGAAGTCTAGGTCTTCCAGAATTTTGTCAACCCATGTAATGCCTAAATTTGCATTATTTATGCACTTGCGCATGACCCAGTCGATTGCTATACCAAAAAGCATCGGCGATAGGACACAGCCTTGCTTCACTCCTGTTTCCAGCGGGAACCAGTCAGAATTGCCGGAATCAGTTCTTACACAGCATCGTGTTTCATTATAAAAAGATTTTATGATGTTGATATATTTGATGGGGAAACCATAGATGTTAGGCAATTTCCAGAGTGTTGGACGATGGATACTGTCGAAGGCTTTTTGGAAGTCGACAAAGTTGATCAATAATTTCGACTGGAATTCTGTAGAATCTTCAACAATTATTCTAAGAGAAAAGATGTGGTCTATGCATGACCGCTTGGATCTAAAACCGGCTTGTTCTTCCCTTAATCTTTCATCTATGGATTTTTTAAATATTTCTAGTAGCATACTACAAAATAGTTTCCCTGGTATCGAAAGCAGGGTGATGCCTCTCCAGTTGTTACAATCGGATAAATCTCCTTTTTTAGGTAATTTGAAGATTACACCATCTTTCCATTGTTGTGGTGGGTATTCGTTTTGCCAGACTTCATATGTGTGTAGTGATGTATTTATCCTGGCATATGTGTGTAGTGATGTATTTATCCTGGCATATGTGTGTAGTGATGTATTTATCCTGGCATATGTGTGTAGTGATGTATTTATCCCGGCATATGTGTGTAGTGATGTATTTATTCCGGCATATGTGTGTAGTGATGTATTTATCCTGGCATATGTGTGTAGTGATGTATTTATCCTGGCATATGTGTGTAGTGATGTATTTATCCTGGCATATGTGTGTAGTGATGTATTTATCCCGGCATATGTGTGTAGTGATGTATTTATTCCGGCATATGTGTGTAGTGATGTATTTATCCTGGCATATGTGTGTAGTGATGTATTTATCCCGGCATATGTGTGTAGTGATGTATTTATCCCGGTATATGTGTGTAGTGATGTATTTATTCCGGCATATGTGTGTAGTGATGTATTTATCCTGGCATATGTGTGTAGTGATGTATTTATCCTGGCATATGTGTGTAGTGATGTATTTATCCCGGCATATGTGTGTAGTGATGTATTTATCCTGGCATATGTGTGTAGTGATGTATTTATCCTGGCATATGTGTGTAGTGATGTATTTATTCCGGCATATGTGTGTAGTGATGTATTTATCCTGGCATATGTGTGTAGTGATGTATTTATCCTGGCATATGTGTGTAGTGATGTATTTATTCCGGCATATGTGTGTAGTGATGTATTTATCCTGGCATATGTGTGTAGTGATGTATTTATCCTGGCATATGTGTGTAGTGATGTATTTATCCTGGCATATGTGTGTAGTGATGTATTTATCCTGGCATATGTGTGTAGTGATGTATTCACCCTCGTATGTTATGTGTAGTGACATGTTCCTGGCATTTGTGCCTAGTAGTGTATTCACCCTGGTATATGTGGGTAAGGATGTGGTTTCCCTGCTATATTTTTGTAGTTATTTGTTTAGCCTGATATGAGTTTAGTGGTATATTTACCTTGGAATGTGTTTAGTGAGGTGTTTACACTGGTATGTGTGGGTGATATGTTTACTCATGTGTGAAAAGTAGATACTTAGCAGTACAGCAGTACTTGATTATTTGCAGGTGTGTTATCTGTGTCTCAGCAAGCCTTTGGTGATTTTCTGTTACAGAAAGTGTCCTGATTTTACCATACCTGGGGCTGCAAGTGGAGACCCACAACTGTCTGGGCCAGGTCTGCACCCATTTTTTGTCTCTGTCTCAGATCAAGGACATAGTCATCACTGAGGCTGTGACAATGGTGAGTGCCATTTTGTTGGTCTAAATGTGCATTTGTGTGTATGATGCTTTGTTAATCTAATTGTGCACTGTAGTGTATACCATTTTATTGGAAATCATTTACCCTAGTATGTGCATAGTGATGTATTTTACTTGTTATGTGTATTGTAATGTGTTTACCCTGGCATTTATTTACCTTTGTATATGTTTAATGACATATTTGTTTTGGTATATGTGTTTAGTGCTGTATTTACCCTGGTATATGTGTGTAGTAATGTATTTACTCTAGTTTATGTGAGATGTAATGTGTTTACCTAGGTATAAATATAGTGGGGGAGGGGGTATGACGTGTCAGTTATTGGTAGTATCTCTTCTTGTGGAGTTTTCGGTGCATTAGGATCTGCCTATCCAAGCATGCAAAGACTACTGTCGGCAGAATGCACAGAGGGAACCACATTGGTTCAACTGGCAAGATGGCGACACTAGCAAAGCGCTGTGGAGCGCAAAGAACGCCTTGTTCATCCACTGCACATAGACCTGTCTCCAGTCTTTTTAACTCTGTCTTCCCACTGGACCCAGATATGACTCAGGCCAGAGAGTGAAGTCAGTGACACTCCAAAACTCTTCCTCACTTTAATCAAAGTCACCACTCAAGTCACTCTTTCATCACTATCTCACTCATTCCCTCTATTTACTCTATTCCAAGAACTGGTCAGGCCCTCTTCGGTCTCATCAGTCATCTTAGTACTCACACTTGATGAAAAAGAGTGGTCATCATAATCATCATGGACAGATCCATCAAGGCCCTCATTGGTCTCATCATTCATCTTCGTACAGATCTGGCCATCCAAGATCTGGCTACTGGCACCAGCTGGATCTTATTCTCATAAGGAGGCAGTACTTGAACAATGTGTCAGTAACTCGCAGTTACCACAGTGCTGACCGTGATACTGACCATTCCCTAGGTGCTACAAGAGTTCAGATAAAACCAAAGAGAATTTTCACTTTAAAAAAAAACCTAGGTTAAATATTTCCAAAACTAAAGATCCGGAAAAGTGTTTTGAATTCCAACAACAGCTCAAAGATCCTTTCACTGATATCCAGGATAACTCTACAGCAAGTGTAAAATGAGATGCAATAAGAGACAGACTGTCTACAAAACAGCTGCATCAGTCTGTAGGATTAGAGAACGTAGAAGTAAGGACTGGTTTGAAGCAGATAGCCAGACATTTCAATCCTTAATTGACAGCAAAAATTTAATACTTCTCAGAAGCAAGGAAATAACGGCAAGGAGCACCCTCAGTGAATTGAGAGAAGCTAGAAATCATTTGCAGAAGGTAGCTAGACAGTGTGCCGATGACTACGAGATCCAGCTATGTAAAAGCATTCAAAATGCTAGCATTAGTGGTAATATTACAGGCATGTATGAGGGGATAAAGAAGGCTATCGGCCCAACTGTTAAAGTGCATCAGTAAAGAGTTTGAATTGGGAGATTATTATTGACAAGAAGAAGCAGCTAGATAGATGGGTGGAACATTATCTGGAGCTGTATTAAGTTGATACTAAGCTAACAGATCTTCCATGATGGACAGATCCATCAAGGCCCTCATCAGTCATCTTCGTACTCACACTTGATGAAAAAGAGTGGTCATCATCATCTTGATGAAATAGTAATGAATTTATCATGGCATATATGTGTGTGTAGTGTGTGTATGTGTATAATGATGGAATAGTGATGCATAATAAGGCAGATGGGGTTAATGCCTTGTGGAAGAGCGTGTAAAGTTCAGAGGAGCAGATGGATCACCACAGTCTGGTGAGATTGATGCAGTGGGAGTGACAAGGGTTCTGGCCAATGCTTGAGGCTCAGAGGAAAGGCAAGACGGACGTTTAATCAGAATGCTACTGGCACCATTAGTATTGGAACTCTGCACTGGCTGCTGAAGAAAGGGATGGAGTGTTTATGGGAATGCTCCGAGTACTGTGGTGGGTTCTTGAATCAGTTCAGCTCAGCTTAACTCAACTCTGCCTGAAAGTACGTAACGAACACATTTGACATCTATCTCTAACACTCTGTCACCAGTATCACAGCAACACATCAGGAGGCTTCTGTCATAGTGCTTCAGTCAGTTTTATTAATCGGCAAACATAATGGGACGACGATCGGTGGCAAACATGTCAATAATAACCTTCACTGAACATTCTCATTCTCCATGGAAATAAACAATACACATGCCCACAAACCAAACAAGTACGTCCATATGCATTTGTCATCTATCGCTGACAGAGAGGCACTGGTTCCTTCACGAGTAACCTTCAGTCTCGCAATTTCCGTTAAGCTGCAATTATCTGTAAAAGTGTAGAGCCACTTGTTTAGCATGGACCCTTTGCACTTGTCACTATCCTCATCTTGGAAAATGGACTATTTGCACTCTTTACCATCCCTATTATTATCATCATGAAACGCTTTTAAGACTGGTGCATGCAATCCTGCCTCTGTACTTTGGCACAATTGACCAGCTAATGAATTCATTCTGGTTTAATTGTGTAGTGATTTATTTACCATGGTTTATATTGTAGTAGTGTAGTTACCTTGGTATGTGTGTGTATTGATGTATTTACCCAGGTGTATGTGTTTAGTAATGTATTTACCCTGGTTTATGTGTATAGTGATGTATTTACCTTGGTATGTGTGTATAGTAGTGTATTTACTCTTGTTTATAGGTACAGTGACATATTTACTCTGGTTTATATCTCTAGTAATGTAGTTACTCTTGTTTATGTATATAGTGACATATTTACCCTGGTTTATGTTTGTAGTGATTTATTTACCTTGGTATGTGTGTATAGTAGTGTATTTACTCTTGTTTATGGGTATAGTGAAGTATTTACCCTGGTTTATGCATGTAGTGGCATATTTACCCTGGTATATGTGTGAAGTGATGTATGTACCTTGGTGTGACGAGCGTAGCTTGGGCCTACGGTGTGACGTGCTGTAAAGGCTGCGTGGTGATTTGCGTGTGACGAGCGTAGCTTGGGCCCACGGTGTGACGTGCTGTAAAGGCTGCGTGGTGATGTGCGGCGTACCAAAGGTGACTAAGGGCATCGCAATGTAACAAGTGGCATCAACAACTTAATATGCCACTGGCCAAGAGTAACACAACATGATGAATACTGAAGCTTCCAAACGTAGCGGAAGGAGAACTCTCTTTAAAAGTTCCATTTGTGTATTGACAAATAGCAATGATCAACACAAGGAGAAAATATGCAATTAATAATCCAAACTCATTCAAGCACATCAACAAAAGCCCACTCGTACATCCATGGACTGATATGTCCTCACGACGGGTCGCAGTCCTACCTTGAGATCCAGACAGTCATCTCTGTCTTCGGTTCCGCAGTCTGAATTAAGTAATGAAAGTGTACGGGCTTACTGCCGAACTGTGACAATATACCAGCTTTCTGCTGAGGTCTACAGTGGAGTCCCGGGGTAAAACGTCCTCAAGGATCCAACTGTATACAACGTCTGCTTCCGTAGTATCCCGGGGTAAAGCGTCCTCAAGGATCCACATGTCTGTCTCCTTCAGACTGTAAACATCAACTCTTAGTCTTACCATGGCATCCTGGGGTAAAGCATCCTCAAGGATCCAACTTGTTTATCATTCCTTCCGTGGCATCCCGGGCTAAAGCATCCTCAAGGATCTACACCAAGGCCGGACCAGACGTCTGCCTTGGTCAAACTTCGACTTTCATCTCCTAGAATACAATTCCTTCACAACCTGATGTATTGTTTTGACGTCTTATTTGCTCACTCAGTACTGGTGCGTTCTGGTGCACATCCGCATGTGACACTTGGTATGTGTGTATAGTAGTGTAATTACTTTTGTTTATGTGTATAGTGACATATTTACTCTGGTTTATGTGTACAGTGACAAATTTACCCTGGTTTATGTGTCTAATGATGTATTTACTCTGGTTTAAGTGTAAAGTGACATATTTACCCTGATTTATGTGTTTGGTGATGTATTTACTTTGGCATGTGTGTATTTTAGTGTATTTACTCTGGTAGTGTCTAGTGATGTATTTACCTGGTTTATGTTATAGTGACATATTTATTATAGTTTATGTGTGTAGTGACATATTTATTCTGGTTTGTGTGTGTAGTGATGTATATACCTAGGTATGTGTTATGTTATGTTATCACAATCAATGTCACTGCACATTGGGCATTCCCATGCGTGCTCAGTCCTCCGAGTCAGCAGCCACTCCAAAGTACTTCTTCTAATTGTTCCCATGAGAAGCTAGTTATATTGTCTCCTATCTCGGCCTCGAAGATGGCATAGACGTGCTTCACCATGCTTTACTCCCATCTCAAGCAATCATGTTAGTGTTAGGGATTTCTCATTATCCACTAGCCCAGTTCGTACAGCGTTGACGATATCTGCTCTGTCCATGCTTTTTCCTGCAATCCTTAGTGCAGTGCTGGCCAGTTGCTCATTTCCCTTACGTCCGCATGACCGAGTGTGTAGATCTGGATGAGGGAGGTTGACTGCGGTTTTCGAATGCTTTCTACCTATTCAGAGCGCATATCGCCTGTTGCTGTCTTCTAAAGCATATTCATGGAGTCTGATACAATTACTGCCTGTGTGGTGGTTTGGTCGGATACCCATGCTAATGCTCTAGAAGCAGCGGCTATTTCCATGGTCACGCTTGACGTGGTTGTCTGGTGGGGGTCACTGTCCTCCTGTATTGTTTTCCCCCTTCTTTGCGCTGTGTATGCCCATTCTGACCTTGATCTGGGCTTTACGGATACATCTGTGTAGATGATGATATCTTCTGGGTCTGAATGCTTATCTATCAGTCTCCTTACTTCTGTGTTTACAGCTGCAGGAATTTGATCCCTGCAGTACCTTCCGAGTGTGATGACATCTTTAGAGATGCCATGCATGTCTACTGATCTATTCATCCATTCTTTTCCGTAACTGATCATGTCTGGGTCACATACCTGCTGGATTAAATCCT